TTTTGGTGTTTTTCAGGATTCCCTTCTCTGGGCTTATTTCATCTCTCTAGACAAAATATTTTCTGTCACAGATTAGAGAGCCATCCTTCTGAACCGATCATCCTACAAGGGCAGATATTTATAATGTATGTATTGCATTGTCTTGTGGGTATGCCTTTGATCGTCTAACTACAGTATTCTGCAAATATGTATCAGTTCTTTGCCAGAAATCCACTTTTTCTGTACTGTATATTTTGGTAAATTAGAGTGTCAGTTTTAACTGTTGCCTTGATTAAATATCTTGGATAAGCTTTTAAAAAGAGTTAATATGTCTGTATAAACCTTTAAAATATATATATATATGGGGGCGTGGCCTGAAGTCCGACCTGTATGGAAGTGTGAGTCCCGAGCTCCTCGCCACCAAGCTAATATTAGCCGTTTTTCATCCCCCTAACTCACCCTAATGGGACGCACCAGGAAACCGGAGAGCCAGCAGACCCCCAGGGCAGCACCGCCGGCAACTCCATCGGGACCGATGGACGGCTTCTTACAAACCCCGCCGGGACAGAGCCGCGAGGCGCACAGCTCCAAGATGGCGCCCGTCTCCCCTGCCTCCTCCTGTTCGGAGCCGGAACAGCCTACACTGGCTGATATTGGGGCAGAAATCAGGAGGCTGGCAGCCAACATGGTCACTAAATCAGACCTACAGTCCCTGACCACCACCCTCACGGCATCCCTCACGTCCGCTGTCACTGCACTACGTACAGACATGGAGGCACAGGACGGCCGCATCCAGGCCCTGGAAACCCAGGCCCAAGCCACCCAACGCCAGGCCTCAGCCGCGGACACAGCCCTGACAAGACAGGGCAACATGCTACTAGCCCTGCGCAGACAGGTCGAGGACCTGGACAATCGCAGTCGCCGCTCCAACATCAGGGTAAGGGGGATGCCGGAGGGGGAGGAGACGGAGAATGTTGCGGAATTACTGACCGCACTTTTCCTCCAGATTCTGGGGAACCAGGCGCCACCAGACATCCGCTTCGAGCGGGCGCATAGGGCCTTGAGACCCAGGAACAGGGATGGGGACCCCCGAGACATTATCTGCTGCCTACACTCATTTCCCCTCAAGGAACGCATAATGCAGCGGGCCAGGACCCGACCCACATGGCGATATCAAGAGGCAGAGGTCTCCTTGTATAATGACCTTTCCCCTACCACGTTAGAAGCTAGGCGTGTCCTCAGACCCATCACTACAGCACTAAGGGAACGCAATATCCCATACAAGTGGGGCTTCCCATTCAGCATCCAGGTGAGACATCATAACGAGTGGATTGCGGCACGCTGGCCAGAAGAAATACCGCGCTTTCTCCAAAGGTTAGACCTACCGTCCATAGCAGTCCCGGACTGGATACTGGAACCACTTGACCGGGAACCCCGACCCCAGAGACAACCTCGGAATCCGCGGAGAGGCCCCAGAGAGAACCGAACACCTGATATACCCCCACACCCGTCCAACCCAGAAGAATAGCCGTACCCCGCCTGATACCTACATCAGCTCGACTACGATCCTGAGACCTAAACATACGAGCTGACATGGATACACAGCTACTCATACCCACTGCCCAGACCCGGAACCCGGGTGCCCTCCTCCCTGGCTGGATGGGATAAACGCACCCGATATAACTTACGCAATTTGGGTGGGGAATGGGAGAGACACGGCATACCATTGTCCACAGGGGAGGGGAAAAGTTGGACACTACTCTTGGGGGCCTGACTAGTCATGCTTATTGGCAGCCTCACTCACCCCCCACCATCTTCCCACAACGTGAGGCACGCAAGGGAAGCACCGTTACTGGATTATCTTCAGTGGTGGGCAGGCAAGTGGAAAACACCGTGGAGGAGTGTTGCAAGGCTAAAGGGATACAACTTGGCCCGCCAAGATGACACCGGGCCTATACCGTGCCAAAGCAGAAGCCTGTTCCAGTTCCTCGCACATCCAAGCCAACGCTGTTTCCATATGATGGAGGACTCATACTCACAGGTTCAAGGGGGGTTGGTAATTGGGAGAGGGTCAGAACATAGGGAGTCTGTGGGGGGAAGTTAAGCACAAGGACGAAACACATACAAACGTATACACACACATAATGGGTAACACGAAGCCGATAGGGTCTAGGGAGCCGGGACTCTAGACCGGGGAACATGGAATTAGGGGGAGGGGGATGGGGGGAATGTGGGACACTCATATTAGCGTCCGGTACCACTTACATATAGGTGCGGGGGAGACAACTGAGCTACTACCCTTCACTCCCCCACATTTAGGCAAAACCACATAAGGGCATGTAAGGATGGGACGAGGTGCAAGCACACATGTTAATCGGATGGTGGGGTTCCGCTAATGTACCGAATTGTATATATGTTATATTGAATGGTGGAGTTCCACTAATGTACCCAATTGTATATATGTTATATTGGATGGGGGGGTCCCGCTAATGTACCCAATTGTATATATATCATATGCTCCATGTGGAAAAGAAGTATACCTTAATGTATGACACGCATTAGAGCTGGACGGCCCTTTACCCCTCTTACAAAGATGTCACTTCTGGGCTACAAGGAAGCAACCCCGCCCTTTCTCCCACCCCACACTCGAGAGCCTCATGATACGCGCAATATGACGAGGCGATACCTTACATACGCTCCCAACCCCAGACCCGGATTTGATATATCATAGATACTGGCCCCGGCCATTGCTAATCGCTGGTGTAGGACCATAATGCGACCGAACACTCACCCACTCGGATACACAACACTGTGTGACCCCCCCCGACCAACATCGCACAGCTCCACAACCCAAAACTGACCTACGTTACCCTGAGAGACGGGGGCACACTTTTGAGACATGCTAGAACGAGACATTGATTCCTGCCTCCACACCTTAGCCCCTTTGTAGACTGCATATGGCGATACTATTGATTGCGGCTGGAGACCCAGGCTATACTAAGACGGGCAAAGACGACATTCAAACACTTTCAAAGAGGTGGCACACCTGATAGGTAACCTCGGACTCCTGTATCTGATACAACCTATAGAAGACACATCCTAACACATATAAAACGCAAGGACACAACCACTAACCCCCGACAAGTTCGCGTGAACAAACCCACTCCACGGGGAATTGGCAGTTGGAAGCCGTGAGACTTTGTCTGACAGGCCCAGCTGCCGACTGCTGCCGTGGTCACGCGAACCAACCCTCCTTGGAGGGACTCTTGACACCTATCCGTAGGTGCTGGTATCACCTCCCTCTGGAGGTGGAGAACTCATCTTCTCTTTCATACCCCAGCCTGTCCCTGCGGGCAGGCAGGGGCTTATCTGTACCCCATGTCTACCCCACTTTACTTTCCTGCCTCACCTCCTCCACTCCTCTGATCCAACCCCTCAGCCTCCCCCCCCACCCTTACTACTCCCCTCCCATTGTCACAGCAACTGCAGACACACCACGGAGAGGGGATACTCGTGGGCAATAGACTTCTTTTTGAAGTACCAACAAACCGCTAAAGTCCGTAGCGACCCACTCACGATCAACATAAATGGCCTACGAACCAGATCCCTTACGCATTACGACCATGAATTGCCGGGGCCTCAATATTCCGGAGCGCAGGTCACAGCTCATACGGGATCTATCCTCTAGACACATATCCGTTGCCTTCCTCCAGGAAACACATTTTAAGGAAGGAAATGCCCCGCTGCTGAAAGGCAAAAACTACCCCAACGCGCTCTGTAGCAACCACCCGACCGCCCGCAAGGCGGGGGTGGCGATCCTCCTCCATGCTAAGCTACAGTTCCAAGAAACTGACCGAATGTCCGACCCTAATGGCAGATATATATTCCTCAAAGGAGATATACAAGACCGTAGGTATACATTCGCGACGATCTATGTGCCGAATAATAATCAATCGCACTATATCCGCAAAACCCTTCTCAGACTTTCCTCATTCACGGAGGGCACACTGATCTTAGGTGGAGACCTTAACGTACCCCTCATCCCCCTAACGGACTCATCCACTGGACACAGCAGCGTTGCCCAGGGAGCCCTCCGCAGCATACAGAAGTCACTTAAGAACCTTCGACTAGTAGACTGCTGGCGCGCGATGCACCCAGCGGACAGGGAATACACCCATTACTCCAGGATACATAGGCGATATGCGAGAATTGACTATATCTTCCTCCAACAAGAGCAACTTAACGCAATCCAGAGAGTTGAAATTGGACCTGCAAGCTGGTCGGACCACGGACCGGTGACTCTACAAATGGACTCTCCTCGGATACGCCCATCCACCTGGACGTGGAGGCTCCGAGACTCTCTACTCTTAGACCCAGCGGTGAGGGAACGGGTCACTGAGGAACTCACGTCTTACTTCACACTAAATGCAACGGATGAACTACCGGCGACAACAGTATGGGAAGCCCACAAATGTGTACTCAGGGGCACACTAATGCACTTAGCCTCTAAAAAGAAAAAAGAATCCCAAAGACAGATGCAGGATCTCTTGACACGCATAAATACCCTTGAAATGCAACACAAACGCTCCCTACTTGAAGAGACCTATAAGGAATTACTGGAAGCCCGAAGATCACTGCAAGCACACATAACGGCCCGACACTATAGCTCTTTACAGCGCTCGCGGGCCTTTTTCTATCAACATGCCAACAAGGGAGGGAAACTACTGGCCAGGATGATCAGAGGCCCCCAAGGTATGACACAGGTCCATAAGATACGAACTTCGGATGGCACGGTAACGCAGTTCCCAGACAAGATAGCGGCGGAGTTCCGCTCGTGTTACACTTCGCTGTATAACATTCCGGGCCCGACACTCCCGGAAGAGACGGCTGTCAGATATGATAAGATACGGAGCTACATTGCATCCCATGTAGGGACACGACTACCCAGTGGGGAGTCGGAGAACCTAGATACACCGATCACCGAAGCAGAGGTAGCGGGAGCCATAAAGGTCTCCAAAACGGGCCGCGCACCGGGACCTGATGGCTTTACTCTAGATTATTATAAAAAATTTCAAGCCATACTTCTCCCGAAACTCACCAACGCATTCAACGCGCTAGTGGACGGCGCCCAACTCCATCATAAGTCCCTGGCGGCAACCATAACAGTCCTCCCGAAACCGGGGAAGGATCCCGAATTATGCAGCAGCTACAGACCAATCTCACTGCTGAATGTGGATGTGAAGCTTCTCACCAAGATTCTATCCACCAGAATTGGTGCAATACTACCGAAATTGGTCCATCCTGACCAGACGGGATTCATCCCTGGGAGGGAAGCAAGGGACAGCACTCTTAGGGCGCTGTCCATCCATCACCTAGCAAAACGGTCAAACGATAAACTCCTACTATTATCGACGGACGCGGAGAAAGCGTTTGACAGGGTGGACTGGACGTTCCTCATGGCCACGCTTCGAGAACTGGGTTTCGGAGACAATATGTTATCGTGGATCGGCGCGTTGTACCAATGCCCCAATGCAAAAGTGAAAGTGAACGGAGCGCTTACAGAGTCCTTCCCGATCCGCAATGGGACGAGACAGGGATGTCCGCTATCTCCCATGCTCTTCGCTTTAGTACTCGAACCGTTCCTAGAGGCAGTACGCACCTCGGATGAAATCCCGGGCTACAAAAGCGGTAATGTAGCACACAAAGTGGCGGCATATGCCGATGACCTTTTATTCTTTATCACGGAACCGGAGACAACAATGCCCCATCTCATAGATATGTTCAACACCTATGGCGAGATCTCGGGGTTCAAATTGAATATGAGCAAATGCGAGGTACTCAATGTCACAGTCCCGACGACCCAAGCAGACACACTAAAAAAACAATTCCCGTTCCGCTGGTGCTCGAATCACATGCAATACCTGGGAATAGCCCTCACTAGCGACCTTGGAGATATGTACCGAACAAACTTCTTACCATCGCTGCAACGAATACAACAAGATCTGAAGAAATGGGCGTACCCCCATATCTCGTGGTTCGGCCGGATTGCAATTCTCAAGATGAATATCTTACCGCGGATATTATACCTATACCAGACGATCCCACAAGCTCTGCCGACAGCATACTTCACATCACTAAGATCCGCGATGGTGAAGTTCGTCTGGAATGGGAAACAGGCAAGACTTCGCCAGGAGGTTCTCTGTTTACCACGAGCCTGGGGAGGTCTAGCACTACCCGATATGCGCAAATATCATCAAGCGACAGTATTACAACGGGTATTGGAGTGGCATACCCATCTGGAACATAAACAATGGATCGACCTGGATAAAAGCCATATTGGCCCCCCCTTCCTGACGTCGGTATGGAATTCGAGGAGATTAGCACAGGTGTCACTCGAACCAAATTCTACAGTAGCACAGACACTGAAAGCGTGGGAAACCATTCGAAGAACCCCACATATATCTCAATCACCGAGCCCGATGATTCAAATACAACATAACCCTCAGATAGGAGGGGGACTGCCCCCGACGTCATGGATATTTCTTGGGGACGGGGAATCATTCCCCATCCATAGGGTACTAAACAACACAGGCATGACCCCTTTGAGGGAACTGCTGGAGGGCACTCAACCTACTAGCCTACTAACCCTCCGTTATATGCAACTCAAATCCTACTATCGCACACTCCCGAACAAGGAAGCCCTACATAGGGACCTATCGTGGTTCGAAACGCTATGTGACCGCAAGACCACCCTGGATAAGACGATATCCATTCTATACCAACACATGCTAGTGGGACATCTCACCAACAACGATCAATTCCGCAGACGCTGGGAACATATGCTGGGCACATCCTTCACCACGGCCCAATGGGATAAGATCCTCATATTACACCATAAATGCTCATCCAGCTCCCAGTACCAAGAAATGAACTACAAACTCCTCTCATTCTGGTACAGAACACCTGATAGCCTACACAGGATCTTTCCAAACGTACCTGACACATGCTGGAGATGCGGAGAAGCACGAGGCACACCACTACACATATGGTGGGACTGCCCTCTCATTACGCCATTTTGGGACGAAATAAAACAGAAAACAGAGGACATCCTAGGGATCGAAGACGGACTTGACGTGGAGACGGCTCTCCTACACGCCACACCTGATACCATAGGGACGTATCGGAAGAGCATTCGTAGGCACCTGTTGAACGCTGCCAAAGCACTAATCCCATTATACTGGAAACAGACGGCTATTCCAACAATAACACAATGGGTGGAACGGGTGGAAGAGATATATAGTGCAGAATCAACACAGGCCGCTCTTCTGGGTCTTGAGGATAAACATACGGAGCGTTGGCGCCCATGGCTGATCTATATAGCGGATCGAAACGCGGACAGACAGGAACCCCAGAGGACCCAAAGACTATCACATCCTCTCCTGGAAGGAGAATGAGACCCAATACGATACCCGCGGTGACCACAGGCGCAGGCAATGGGACCTCCTAACCCACCACACCCTCCCATACCCACCCCCCCCTCAACATCCCTCTTTATCCCCCTTCTATACTTTACCTATTTCTCTATTATCTTTCATTATCCAACGAGGATACATAAACTGACTGAATAACTGATGCAATACAACTCATTCTGAGGTTACCAACAGATTCATTGCATATTTACGCATAATAGTTTGTCTAGGGGCAACTACTCCAACCACAATATCTGGGAAAATGAACTGGGTAAATATTTATACAAACAGTTACTGACCTTCAAAATGGGCTCAACGACCTCCGACATCTTACTGGGGCTGTGGCTTGCAGGAGATAAAGAAATAGCTAAGATAACCATACAGCCGACTCATTACAGATGTCGACTTACCTAGGAAACGGTATAGGGACGGCCGCCCTACTGACTTAAGATGATCTCCCCGGACAAACAGACCTCAATATTAAACCGCCCCGAAGAAATCGGACATGCACTTATTACCTAATTAGCTAAAACGGAGATAACCTCTAATAGCTCTGCTGGACACAATAGGACACACTCGACTAACAAGACAGCATACCCGAGCATAACCTATTACATGCCCATGGACGCCCTTTAATCACCCATGTACCTCCCACGAAGCACAATCCAATGCCTCAGACAGTTGATATGAAAAACCTCCAATAAGCCGAACTCAGTCCACGACCTATCATTATCCCAATTCATGATAGCAATCTTAGCAACATATTGACTAAACCAGCTCGAAGTACACAGTTACCCTAAGCTTCTGATTACTAACATACCATTGTTTAATTGCTGATCACTGGAATTTCGCAAGGACCTGCGTGTCCGTTATATCTTGTTTGAATGTCGCAGTTATGTGTTGATAACTCATATCTTGTCTGGACCTACGTGCCCAGTACATTGTATCTTATTGCTGCAACTAATAAACAGCTTTGAAACATAAAATATATATATATATATTTAAATATTATAAAAACGAAATCAATATTTCAACAAATATCAAAATAATTAAATATTTTTCAAAATATTATATATTTTGAAAAGCGTATCCAAAAATATTAAATAAGTACAACTGCTCCAGCCCAAAGGCCAACGTTGAACGCATTAAAAATATATATTTGCAGCTGTATCACAGGGATCCATAAGAATTTTGTTGTTATTTTATTGTTGCATTCAATTAAATAATATTCTGATCCAATATTTTTTTTAAATGCGCTTCTACATACTGATAAAATGATGCAAACACAACTACTTAACCTTCCTTTAGTAGGATTGCACCTAAACATGTTTTTTCACTAGTACCAGACTGAATTATAAGCTTTTTCATGATGCTTTATTATGTCAGGACTGGAGGTGCCATGACCAATGCTTTTATCTATTTCAAGCCTCTGTTATGCTGTGAAACTTCCTCCCAGTCTCTTTAGAACTTTGCAGGTAAAGTAATATAGCCCTGCAGAATCTTATCAGTTTGGGTGTTGTCTGGTTAAGTCATTTTTATTTCAGCTCTATATAGACACAGGTCCTCTGGTTCGCTAAGTGTCTATCGTGTCAACAGGAAAGAATTTCAGCAACAGAATACATTGTAATCTTTCAGATTCCCCATGCATGGTCAGGGTAAAAGCCAAAGTGTTCTATACAGTACAGTGGTGTTTTCTGGAATTGTGCTGCCCTAGGCATGACAAACCCCTCCCCCCCCTTTCCAAATTTCTCTTCCTGACATACGCACACCCTCAATGATGCATGCACTGACATACACTCACTTACAGATACACAGTAATTGCCACACACAATGTTTAACCAACACACTCTTTCACTGAAACATACACATTCACAGGCATATACACTCAATCATTCACAGTTACACACACACTCTCATTCACCGATAGACACACGTATACACTAACTGACAGACACACACACTCACTGACAAGACACGCATGCATACTCACTGACAGACGCACACTCACGTAGTTCCACACACACACACTTACACACACACACACTGGGACACACATATATTCACTGACAGATACAAACTGACAAACACACATACACACTCACTGACAGGCATATATACATTCAGTGTCAGACACACACTCTCAGTGACAGACACAAATACACACGCATACACACACTGATAGACACACATACATACACACTAACTGACAAACACAT